AAATCAATATAATTTCACTGACTTCAACGGAGCTGTGCCACATCAACAGCAGCAGATGAACCCAGTTCTTTGTTTTCTATCCCAATTCACATTTTCTTCTAAAGTTTATTTTAGGCTCTACACCGAGCAAACGGTTGTGATTGTGCAACTGTTATCCAGAGTTCAGCAGAAAAGAGTTGTACACAATGGTGACAGTGCAAACCCCCTCTTTTACCTTGTCAATATGGACTGCCTTTCTGTTCGAAAAACTTATCCCATAGTTTGTGAAGTCAGAAGAAAGCACTGTGATGATTTGCTCTGACTTTCTGTATGTATAGATGTCATCCCAAATTCCAGGCTCAATTCTTGCGTAAACTGCAGCAATTTTTTTAGAAAAGCATCCTGTTTCAATTTAGACATCACCAATATTGACACTTCTTAAATCATACCAGATGTAGATTACTCTATTTGCTTGCATGTTTTTAATCTCATTCTTAGTGTGAATATGTTGAGCTCTAACTTTCACCAGGGATGCTGAAGAGTCTGTTCCCAAAGTCTTGTCCCCCCCACACGTACTTCCAGTTTCACAGCTGATTCGCTCCTTAAAGCACCTCTTTGATACACTCACTCTCCCGCAGTTAGATTGAGCTCCAGAGGTCTCCTCTCCCAAAGAGAAAGATAAGACAGGCTCTGGGACAGCTCAGTAAGATCTATCATGAAGTCATCTCTGAGAGCACAGATTAAGAAACAGGTGGATTTCTCATTTTTCAGAGACTCCCAAACTACTTTCAGACAGTAATAACTAATGGTCATGTGTTCTGAGGTAGCTGCTGAGCTAGAAAAAGAGGCATTCATTATCCATCACCTCAGGTACCATTGTTACCAGGACAAAAATTTCTGGGCCTTATCTTTCAGTACTGAAATTACTCAGAGCTTGTCTCTGACTTCACTGGCAACAGAGAAGTCCTCATAAGGTGGATTTCATCTCACCCGGCTTTAAATGCTTATATCTGATCTACTTCTTAAGTACTTTTTCTAGTCTGTGAACATAAATACGTACTTCCATGGCACATCCCTCCCATCCAAAACTTGACAGATGAATATCACCTAGCTTGAATGTTTCAGGCAACTGTAAGGGAGATTTCCATGCTAAATCTATTCATTTGACATGAGAGAAAGAAGACTCTGTGCCCAGGTTTGAGGTAGAATAAAACCAATTTTCTTTTTAGTAATTTTAATTTGCAGTTAAGTCTCTTCTAACTAACTTGCACTCTCTGAAATGAACCTTAACCACATTCTGATGACATGATTCAGGGGAGGTCCCACAGGAGTATGGTATGGACAGAGAATAAGGAAAACAAGAGCCCAGAGTAAATCTGAAGAAAGCATGGAACCAAAAAGAAATCAGAGAAAAGAAAAGGAGTTCTTGAAAGGTAAAGACACCAGCAAAACCCAGAGGTGGAACTGCACAGAGGTGGGAAGGATTTGTTGTAAGAGCCCTGTGGCTCTGGCACCCTTTGGAGAAGTTCAGAACTGCTGGAGCCTGTGAAAATCACAAATCCTGAGAGCCTTGGCAAACAACATTTGTTTCTTATTGTCAGGAAATATTTTGCCAGTTGGGAAAGATCATCTGGAAGGTTTTGCCACTCTAAGTCCTCAGAGAAGGAAAAAATCCTCCAGGGAAAGGCCCTTGTAGCACATACACATATGCATCCATACAGTTACATTTTGTATTTGAACTTGTAACTGCTACCACAGCTACTGCACTTCCGTTACTGTTTATGTGTGATTTTTTCCTCTTTCTCTCTGTACACACACATATGTAAAAACATATGTATTTATTAGAATACTAAGCTGCTACTGTCACAGAAGTAGGATACCACAAAAGGAAAAAATACTGAATTCTGTCATAGCATTTCCCATCCTTTTACAGTACTACATACAAAAAAAAATCTATAAATTCTGAGCAGCTTTAAGGGGAGATTACTGCACACTCATAGCTCAACCTGAAAATAACTTTTTCCCAGATTAAAAAAAAAAATAATAAAGATTATATTATAATCCTGGCAGAAGATTTTTTACATCTACATCCAAAGGACGTACAGGTTTATTGAGGAACTGTGCAATGTCTTAAAATGTGAACCGAACCTTCTACTGAGTTGTACTGCAGACTCTGCTGCTGCAATCAATACTCCAAACAGCCCTATTTTTCTTGGACAAGAAAACATACATATATCTGACATTTGAGGAAGCCAGGTGAATAAATCAATAGCTAAACAAAAATGCACTTAATCATATCTATTCTGGACAGAGGCAGATTGGAAAATCCTATATGGCCCAGGTATTGCCTTCTGCTTAAAGCTTAGAAATGAATCTGTGTTTCCTAAATGGCAACGTCCTGTTGCTAGAGCCTTGCTGAAGCCGGAGTGATTACAGCAGCAATTAACTGTGTGCCAGCCAGCATTAGATAGATCTACTGCTCAAACTTAAGTTCAGGTATAGTTTGTTGTTAGAGTCCTTTAGCATAAATGCATAACTTAATAACCAACAAATTACATACTTTATAAGTGTAACAGCTTTACTGGAATATGTAGCAAAGATTCACACATTCACTTTAACCTTAAATCTACTGGGCTGCATTTTCTTACCTAGAATCAGCCCAAGGAGGAATTCAATACAGACACATACTTTATCTTTCCTTAATGGTTTTAAGCAGTGGCCATTATTGCACATGTCTCATGGCGTCGCAGGTGATCATTAAACACACATAATAGCCCTACTAAATGAGTATAGATAACTCTTGTGCACAGAAGAGCTGCTATGCTTAAAGGTGCTCTTTTACTTGACATGACTTCATAAAGCCCTTTGAGATAACCACAGTGTGAGAGATGTTTTAGAAAAACACAATTTTATTTCTTCTCTGCTTTAGCCCTAAGCAGTTCAGCGTTATTTGAACATCAGCAGCAGCACTTCTTTACAACTTCAAAGTCAGATTCTAATCTCAAATTGGCAGTGCACCTTGAGATTAAAAATCTGACCGGCACTGCAAGAAATGAATGTTTTCAGCAGCAAGAAGAGCAATAGGAGGTAACAACATGACAGCCTAATATCACTCAATTAGAAGGTACGTTAAGGTTACACTAAGGTGCCTGACATGAATGCTCTTACAGGAAACACTTTAAGAAAGGCACGAGGAAAAGGATGACACCATTAAGCTTGGGAAGAGTTTTGTAGCTGTTATTAACCTGGAAGAAGGGTGAGATTCCTCCCAACTGACCTTTTCAGCTAAAACCTCCGTGTCAGCTGCTCTGCAACCATGAAGCTCAGGTTATGTCTTTTATTTTCAAAATGTGTAATCCTGAAAAGAAGAAAATGCAAATATATGTCTGAGGTCTTATTTTTATCAGCTACAGCTACTGTCTCGTGAAGAACATGGTAAGGGGTCTCTTCTCAGTAAGAAAGAAGATCTGTGGTGGAGCCAGCCCAAACCATGGAGACTGGGAAGCGGCTACAGGAGTTTTGGGGTCCTGCTGGTACAGAGGAAACAGCAGTTCAGACTGGGTCTGATGGGGTTCCTCAGCAAAGTCAGTCCTCTCGCTGTCCCCACTCAGCCCCGGTTCCTGGACGATGTGGTGACGACTCTCCATTTTGATTTTAGGCCCATTATTGCAGCGCTTCCATCCTGCTGATACACAAGAAGGCAACTGGTGTTGTGATTCCACCTACTTTGGCATTCTCCTTTCTAATTGACTGATAAAGGCGGCATCACATGACTTCTGAGTAACGCCTTCTGTGTGGCAGCGTCTGAGATTTCCACGCTCCCTTCTTGTCCTGGTTTGAGCGATACAGGAGGAACTTCTCTTCTAATCCTTGGGAAAACCGTACTTTTAGGAGATTCTAGTGTCCGAATTTGTGAAAATATTTACTTGATAGCCAGCCATGGTATGCAGGTTTCAAGGTTTCAGTGGTCCTCAGTTAGCCAGGAGGCGGAACGAGGAAGACAGAGACCTGGGCCTTTGACCCAAGGTGGCCAGCAGGATTATTTCATACCATGAACATCACATTGAGTATAAATTAGAAAGTTTGCTGAGGAGTTCTCTCTCTTCTGTGATGGTTGTGATCCTGAGAACTCCTTGTCCCGGTGCCGGACCCCTGAGCCCTTCCCTTCCTCCCGAAGCCCCAGCGCTGGCCGGATCCCATTTGCTGTTCCCTCTGGGAATGCAGCTTCCTGATGAAAGAATGGGCTGGGCTCGTGTATCAAGATCAATATTGGTTCTTTAGTATTCCTAATGTTAATTATGTAGTCGTATTCTATTAAATCTGTTTATATTTCAACCCCCGGGTTTCTTGATTTTTTTCCGATTCCCCCTCCCGGCTGGGGAAGGGTTCACCGGGTGAGAGAATAATCGTCTGAACGGCGATAAATTGTGGTGGGTTTTTCAAACCGCAACAGCTCCCTGAGCCCCTCCACCGCACCCGCCCCGCACGGCCGGCGGGACGGCACCCGAGTGCGGGGGGGGATCGGCTGTAACTCACCCACCTTCGCACCCAGACGGGGCTTCCCTTCAGGCGGCCATTGCCCGACCACCCGCCCGCCGTGGCGGGGGGCTGAGGGGCGGCGGCGACTCATTCCCGGCGCCTCCCTCCCTCAGCTCCTCGTTCTGGCCGTGGGGGTTCCCTCAGCTTCCCGCCCTCACAGGGGAGCTCCCCTCAGCGCCCCGCTCCTACTCCCTCATGGGGAGCTCCCCTCAGCTTCCCGCCCTCACAGCAGAGCTCCCCTCAGCGCCCCGCTCCTACTCCCTCACGGCGGAGCCCGCCTCAGTTTCCCGCCCTCGCGGTGGAGCTCCTCTCAGCGCCCCTCGCCACCACGGCAGCGGGGCGGGCCGCCTCCGCTCGGCAGCGCAGCTGCGGCCGGGGTTGGGGGGGAACGGGTGGCGAGGCTCGAGGGCAGCGGGTCCCTCGGCGTGCGGCAGAGGGCGCCCCGCGTTCCGCCAGAGCAGGGCCGGGAGGAGCCTCCGGCGCGGCGCGGCCGGGGAGAGAGAGGGAGAGGGAGGGACGGAGCTGCCACGTCCTCCGCGCCGAGCGGCGAGGGAAGCCAGCCCGCGCCTCAGCCCCACGTGTGGCGGAGCGGGGAAGTTGCCGGCGGCCGGCTCGGACTCTGCCCCTCTCCCCCCGCCGCCGCCGCCCGTCTTTTACCGGGTGAGCGCAACTCTAAGTCGGGGCGTGCGGCGGGCCCGCTCCCGCCTGCTGTCCCGGGGGGAGGCCGGCGGGACGGTGGGTGCGGGCGGCTTGGGGGCGGCGGGGAGCGCGGGGGGTCGAGTCCGCCGTATCCCCGGGGGAGCCGGGCGGGCCAACTTCCTGCGGACTTTGGCTCCGAGCGCTCCTTCCCGGGGCAGCGGGAGCGGGCCCCGGGGGCCGGGGCGGGGGGGGGGCGAGTCCGGCGGCCGCGGTTAAAACGGGAAAGTTTTAAAAGCGGGCTGGGTGCCGCGGCGGAGCGCCGGGCGGCGAGCGGGGCCGGGAGGCGGAGAGCCACCGCCTCAGCCTGTGTGGCGAAGGGGAGGGAGCCTCGGGTCGCCCTCCCGGCCTCTCCCGGTGGGGCGGCCCGGTGGCGGCCGGCTCCGAGCCCCGAGGGGAAACCTCCCGGGTCGGGACCCCGCGGTAAGAGGGCTCCGGGGCCGGTGGAGCGGACCCGGGGGCGGCGGGGAGCACCAGGGGTGCCGGCGGCTGAGCCCAGCCGGGCCGCGGCCCCCGAGAAGCACCGCGGAGAGATTCATGAGGAGAAGAACACTTAAAAAAGACTCGCTGAAGACTTTTTGGGTTTGTGGGTTTCCTTCCCCCCCACCCCCCCCCCCTTATTTCTTAATTTCGATTCCCCAGTCACTAGCACCGAGAAACGACCGAGACCTGTGTGTGTTTAAAGCAGCCTGTTGAAAAAAAAAATCTCAGGAAAGAGTTAAAAGATGACCCAGGGGAAAAAAAAAATCAGGATAATCCGTTCTGAATGTAAAAATGTTTTAAGCACCGTGCCTTCATTTGTGCGGTTTCTGTCCCTGCAGTGTGCTGACCTGAGTTTGGTTCATAGCTTTTTGGTTCTCCTTATCGTTGGTTACCTAAAAAAAAATACCCCAATCCAAAACCATTCTTTTCTCTTATGTTTCTAAACCAGTTACGGTTCAAGCCTTCTTTAAAAGCAGTAGAGAAAATACATGTTCTTGCGCCACAGAGATTTCCATTCCAGGGTCCCAATCCTGCCAGAAATCTGTATAAGCTTTTTTATCGGTGTGTGTGGTACCACCCTGGGCTGGGACCTCCTGAGGTTTTCATGTTTCTTTCAATTTTGAAAATGTGATTGTCAGTTATTTTTAGCTTTGTTAAAAATTTCCTCCTTTAAATGAACTAGAAGTCTCGCAGGAATTCCCTGATGCCCTGTTAAAAAAAAGTGAAATGAGTTTCTCATTAGTACGTTTTTAATAACTTTTTGCTCGCTCGCTCTCTTAACTGCCTTTTAGTGGCCTATTTATAACGTACAGACCTCCTAGACTGAAGTTAAGAACAAAGCTGATTTCTATACTCAACCTTTGTAGGTAGAAATTTCACTGATCTTTGTCAGATAAATGAACTGCTCCTTGTCACAGCAGTTTTAGCTGCTGCTTTCCCCTTGTGCTCTATGGGAAACTGAGAAAGGACATCTGCCAACAGCAATTTTAGGTTCAGCTGTCAAATACCCCTTATCACAGGGGAAGCTCTGGGAACTACCTGTTTCTTTAGTGCTTTTTTCCAGCATGGGCTTGCACAGGTCTCTTAATTCTGCTTCTCGAGAGAGTTTTGGCGCAGCTGTTCACCACAAATGCAGGGTGATACAGAAGAGCATGGACAGCACTGGCAGACATACAGAGATAAAGACAAGCCATTTACAGAGCTGGACATCTTCAGGTGCTGCCAGGGTGGACATCGAAAAGCCCTGGTTCTAGGGAGTCCTTAGCACCCTTTAGGGTGTGATTGGTGTTCACAGACTGATGGGAGTACTTTGTGTGAGGCGTAAGATACACAGCAGCTGCCACACACCCACACCTCCTGTCTGGGGCACACCACTGAAGCTTTGGAGCTACCCCAGCGTGTCAGACACGCGTGGAAGTTGCCCTGTGTGAGGTGACAGCCCTCAGTCACGCTCTGTAGCTGACCACGGGTTCGTTGCTGCTTGTTTGGCGGTGTGTACAGCAACAGTGAGAGAGTGGACTGTTTCCTCGTTGGTTGCTGCTATATCCATATGCTAGCAAAATAATATCTTTTTTTTTCTTTTTTTTTAAATTCTAATCGTGTTTTTCCATGCATTAAATAGATAGTGAAATGCTTTTGCATATATATATGATATACATGCTGATGAGGTGATACGAGCTGGCTTGTGGGACTATAGATAGACTGTAAACTAAATCTTTTGGCCATGGCACTTAATGTGTGATGTTACACGGTTTCCTTGTTCGTTTTTGTTACAAATTTTCCTCCTCCATGGTTTTTCTCCCTTGCCTGTTACTTTGAAGCTCGACAAGACTTGTCCCAGTGGTGGGTGCACTACCAAGAAGCGGTGGTGTAGAGGAGCTGAAATAATTTCTCCATGAAGAGTGATGGGAGACCTGCCCTGGTTCAGCAGGTAGCACTGCTGTCATAGGGACTGCCCTCAGAGAGAAATACATTGGTCTTTTACAGAGGCACCAGAGTTTGAGAGAACTGAATGCTGATTCTCTCTGCTGAATTGGGCTGGGTTTTGCTTTTACTGTTACAGTTGTGCCCCCACTACTCCCAAAGCCATCTCAGCCCTTTGAGAGTGGATCTGGCATCTCTTGATTCAACTACTTTGGTCCAGGTGCTCCACAATAAAACGATCTTTGTCTCCATATTAGTCTCTCCATCGTGCGCTGCCAGAAGTGTTGATGAGTGGATTGATGGCCATGATAGAATCATAGAATGGTTAGAGTTGGAAGGGACCTTAAAGATCATTGAGTTCCAACCCCCCTGCCATGGGCAGGGACACCTCCCACCAGAGCAGGTTGCTCAAAGCCCCATCCAGCCTGGTCTTGAACACTTCCAGGGATGGGGCATCCACAGCTTCTCTGGGCAACCTGTTCCAGTGCCTCACCATCTTCACAGTAAAGAATTTCTTTCTAATATCTAATCTAAATCTCCCCTCTTTCAGTTTGAAATGGTTACCCCTCATCCTATTGCTACAGTCGCTGATAAAGAGTCCCTCCTCATCTTTCCTGTAGGCCCCCTTTAGGTATTGGAAGGCCACTGTAAGGTCTTCCCAGAACCTTCTCTTCTCCAGGCTGAACAATCTCAACTCTCAGCCTGTCTTTGTAGGAGAGGTCTTACACTGTCCAATAGCAATATTTGTTGCATGCTAAACTGAATGGCCGTTTTTTGACTGATTATGGAAAAACAGTTATGCTTGGATAAATATCCAGCAAAGAGATGTTGGCTGTTGTCTTCTCTGGAGATCCCCTAACGCTGATTATTGTACATGGCCACTGGAGCTGCAAGAGGGCTGCTCTGTAAGACCACAAATTCTGTAAGAGGTGGGATTTTTTTCACAAAGAAATCCTGAAGGGGTCTCCACGATTTTGTACTTTTCTGTGTTGCTCCCTTTTTGGTTTTGGTTTGGTTTTTTCTTTTCCTAATTATTGCAGTATCAGCTTTCCAGTAAATGCTCTATGAAGCTGAGAAGTTGCCTTCCTTTCTGCCCATTATGGGAGAGAGTTATGTTGACAGATGTGGGCTCTGTGAGGATTTGCTGAGCTCTTAATCCTGTTTGTGGCTAATAGGCCATGCTAATGTGGAAGAGCATCTCTTTCAGTATATAAAGGTCTTAACTGCTTGTTACCTTAGGGAAATGTGCTGTTAAAACGCTGTAATTGTCTTAGCAGTAGTGGCAGGCCATGAGGTTGTCGATGTAAAACTCTGCAACAGTGCAGGCCTCCTCCCTCTGCTTTTTTTTGTTTGTTGTGTGGGGGTGTATTGGTGTTTGTTTGGTTTTTTTTAAGAGTTTTTTTACTTGTTAAGACAAACACTAAAATGATTGCTGTAGGCAATAAGGGAAGCTGGCTTTGTATGTTGAATGTGGCAAACAGCCAGAGATCAGGTATTTGTGAGCCCTTTAGGCTCACGTTTATCTTAAAGGGATGAAAATGTGTGGTAGTGTTCTCTTCGTTGTTTTTTGCCCTACCACTAGTTTAGTTTCAGGTTGGTGTTGTTTTTTTTTTTTTTTTTGTCTTCTCCATCCTGTTTCCTTTTTTCCTTGCACGCCAATTTTTGTTGCGAGTAAGTTAGTCACTCTTTTTAAAACTTGAGCTCCGTGTCTGTGTGACTAGATGTTTCTGACCACTTTTGTCATTTCAAGTCTCATTGAATTTCTTGAAGCGCAGGGCATGCCCCAATTGAATTATTCTGTGTTCAAGTTCTGAAAGTATAAGCATCATTTTAACTGTAAGCATAATATTAGCAGCTTGGCAGAGACTTCTCTGTGTAGTCCATCAGCATGCTGGTCAAAACTTAAGCTAAATAAATAGTGTGCAGTGATAGGACTTTGCCCTGTGGTTTTATATGTGTGTAGAAAACACCACTTTCCACCCCGTGTAATTAATGTATGCTATCTAAGCAGCTACTTTATTAAAGATGGGGGCTACGTTCTTGGGATCAAAGGAGTTATGTTTTGTAGTTTGCTGGTGAGATGGAGCTGAAAAGCTTCTGAGCAAAGTAACTGCTTGCATTCCTGTTTGCTAATATGCAATACTAAAGGCCGGTGCGAGATACGGACCTTAGTTCCATGTTAACCAAGCGTTTGGTGGAGGATGTTGATAAAGCCAGAAACTAGAGCTGGGTTTGCAGATGCAAGACAGAGTGTCAGTGGTTTGTGACACTGACTCGCAGTATGCGAGACTGTTGATTTTTAGGTTTCTCTTGGGCAGAGGTTGCTAACAGCACCAAAATACTTGTATTTTCCCCTTTATATCACGTCCTATCTGTAACAGCTGCAAGGGAAGGCTTCCTCTGTGACCATATTATCTAATTGACTTAGAAAAATTAGACATAGTAATGGAGAGATTCAGTGAAACTATCAATCTTGAGGAATTATGTTTTTTCTTTTAACAGGTGGTAACAATAATGCTGGGATTTTCTCAGTCCTTTGCAGGACTGCGGACTTCCTG